CACCGAGAAAAACTCATCTCACTTAGTTTTATTGACCCTTTACACTCCTCATAACCCTAACCAACAACTAAGATCGATTCAACCTCGCTATCAATCTTACAACGACTCAGTTAGCTTCCCTCAGTACCCTGCGACGATCGCTCGCGTCGGCCTAGATCGCTTCCCCCTTTCTACCCTTCGCCGCCTTCCCACCGCTCCGGCTACACCCCCAGCTATCGCCGATCTCGTTCCCCCCTCCTTCATCCTAGTAATCCTCGCAGTACCCACAACTCGAGTGATACCTGCCTCATCGTCGGTGATAGCCCAGTACATCGCTCTGTCGATTGCTGCCCCCTATACCACGATCGAGTTATTGTTGTTTTTAAAGATATTTAAAAACATAAAACAATCCAGTCAGCATCCGCTCACTACACCTTCTACAGTGTATTTTCGCAGCCGGAACTAACGAACAGTTACTTACAATAACTGTCGGGTTATTGTCGCTTGACGACCTAGGTATCTACCTGACGACGACACGTTCATCGTTTTATAGCATCTCGACACTCTACACGTGTCATACCCGTACTACTAGTTAGTCACTTCCCTGATTGTGGAACGTTCAGAGATACTATATAACCAAAACGACGAACCTCTGTCTTCTTACAAGACGTCTAATACCTATTTCGTTATGTTCAGTCCCTCCTCGATCGAGCGAACCGCTGACTATCCTGTCATGGAAACCGAGACCGTCCGACGTCCGTCGACGAACCCTCGTATCAATGTACAGCTACCTGCCCCCCCTCCCAACGTATCACGTGAGGTCGTTCGACCTGAGGACATGATTGAAGTCGTTACTTCAATCCAAGCGTTTCGCGAACGAGCCAAGACATGCTCTCGTCACGGTGCTACCGTCGCGAAATGGGTAGAAGAACATCTGCTTCCCCCTGTTTTTAAACAAATGGAAGAAACGATCAATGCACATCGTCAGATTTCCAGTGCGATCGCAAAATTGGAAACTCACAAAAAGAACGGCACTTACCCCGAATCTATTGTGAAAAGCACCCCGGCTTACCAATTAATGAGCTCCCTCCCTGGCAAGAACGATACGCCTGACATGACCGTTCGACAAATGGATATTAACCATGCCACGAATAGGCTCAGAGAGTTTATCTTAAACTCAGCGATCGAGTCTAGGAAGGAGGAGCTGTCAGACGCAAACTCCTTTCTACACCCGGAGACACTCTTAAGGGGATTATTAACCAAGTGGGTGGAAGAAGCTCACTCAGTTATGACCTCGTCTCCAGCTGGTCCCGTCTCGGCCGATTTTCGCAATGTGTTCGACCTCGCTTTGCTTCTCGTCGAACATAAGTTAACCGATGCCACCATTAGTGCGTCGCTTAAAGCTGCTGCGGCCATTAAAGTCCAGGAAGCGAAACGTTTAGCTAAAGCTACGGCCGAGATGGAAGTCGATGGATTGTCTAAAGAAAGAACTCTTACCGAAGAGATTCGCTCGATCCTCCGTCGAGAGATGAAGACCGCCTTTAAAAGCACCATCGATAACTCAGTATGTGCATCTACTGAGGTTCTAGATTCGGAACAACTTGACCTCACCGATGTCTCCCTTGATCCCTTTGTAGAAGGATCACCCTCCCAACCAGTCGGGTTTCGCTCCGTCTTCGAAGCGAAAGCAACATCCCTCAGGCTCGACCAGCCAGCCGTCGAAGTCCTACCGAGGAAACTCGTCGAACCAAGGCAGAGGAGGCTCCTCGTCACACCGTGGCAGAGGAGCCAATTCGAGCCGAGGCCGACCCTCCGGAAGGGATATGACTACTGGGACGAGGGAGAAGAAGTCGGGAAGTCAGTCCAACGGACAACCCGAAAGAGAAAAAGGAAAGGGCCGTCAAGGCCGATAGAATGGTGGAAAGGAGATAATAGTGACTTACTACGTCTTGAAAGTAGCCCACTTACCGTTGATCTTGTAAACGGCACTCCTCATTTTGTGCCGAAAGGTGATTATAATGCCGTTGAGAGCACGGATATTCCGTCTACAACGGGGTTAGTAGAATTAGAATCCCTGTCAACCCGCACGGCCCTTAGATTATCTAAGCATACACGTCACCCCTCTGGCACACAAATGCATATGCATAGACAACCCCGAAACGGACTATGCGTTTCTACACCCCCGGATTTTGATATCCGCCGCCTGGAAACCTATCCGGACGGATTCTTTCTTCTTTCCGATTCAGAGCGTGCTCGTTTTATGTTTATTCATTCTAACATATACTGGTTGGAAACACGTGTTACCAACAACGTTCTGCAAAACCCTTTCAACATCCCCCTCGATGAGTCAACCAAACGTTTTCTAGCGTTAAACTCAAAATTTTGCCCCAAGCCGAGGTACGAAATTCCCCAACGAATTCTACATTCGTGGGAGGACTTCTCTAGGTCAGTTCGTATTCGATGTCTTTTCTCCGATAAACCCGATGATATGGATTTTGTTGCTAAATTCCATATTAAAACCGGCACATCGATCGGTAATTTAGAAAATCACCCCGATGTGGAAGAAGGGCTTCGCGTTGGCAAATCCCTCCTTCAGTCCGCCCTGAGAAAGATACAGACAAACGACTGGAGGCCTTCGATCTCTTCCGAACGCCTCGAGGCTTTTGATCAGCTTATTCACCACAACGATTACATTTTCAAACCTTGCGACAAGAATCTCGGAATGAGTATTCTACCATCCTCATGGTATGTCCAAGAATGTAAGCGACAACTCTCTGATCTGTCGACTTACGAACTTGCCACCGTAGATGTTGCAGCCCTCTCCCATCGGCTCATAGAGCTAACGGATTGCTCAACATTTACCAAACAAGCCAGGAAATTCGTGCGGCACACCCTCATCGAACCGGCTCTTCCCGAGTTCTACGTGCTGCCAAAGGTCCATAAACAACCTATTCGTGGACGACCAATCGTGCCGTCACACAAATGGATCACCACTAACTTGAGTAAGTGGCTCGACTATCAGCTACGGCCCTTTCTTTCTTCATACCCATGGATACTACGCGACTCCAAGACGTTACTACGCCACTTGGATACACTCGCTCTCCCTACATCCTCGGAAAAGATCTGGCTGCTGACTGCCGACATGACCTCCTTCTATAGCTCGATTCCCACCGACGAGGGTATCAAGATCATTAGATGGATGGCTTCTATACATAAACGCTCAGATGACGATGCCGACGTTCTCGGCCAATCTCTGGAGTTTATCCTTAAAAATAACTACCTGGCGTTCGGTTCCTCTGTCTACCGACAAGTGAATGGCACTGCTATGGGAACGGCCTGCGCTCCTGCGTTCGCCAACCTTTATGCAGCCGCCTACGAATCACTCACTTTAGACAAGAAACCGCCGAGTCTGCTGTACTATGGCCGCTACCTCGACGATATACTAGTGATCGTCAAAGGCTCCATCGCCAACGTCGAACATGTGAAAACCTTTGTTAATCACACGCTTCAGACGATGGAACTCAGCTGGACGGTGAGTCCAACGTCACTTCCTTTCCTTGACATTACCCTTCAAGTCGACGAGGATCCTGACTCGCTGAAACGATCGATTGTGACATCGGTCTACCAGAAACCGTCTAATGCCTACCAGTACATTCCCTGGTCATCCTACCACCCCCCGAAAGTGAAATTGGCCTTCGTTAAGGGCGAGTTAGTACGCTATGCTCGCATCTGTTCGACTAAAGCTGCCTTTTCCAAGGTCTCGCTTCGGTTCTACGAACGTCTTCGCGCTCGGGGCTACCCGCCCGGATGGCTACGTATTGCGTTTCGCACGGTTCGCTATGCGGACCGTCGACACTTGCTCGTCGACCGCCCCAAACGGCCGTCGCCCGACAAACCCCCTCTGGTTTTCCATGCTGCGTATAATCCCATCTGGGAGAAATTACGCATGAAGCACGCCTTTAATGCGTTGCTGGGCATCTCGAATGCTGTGAGTAAGCAGCGTTTTCTTGGAAAACGACACCGTCCACTGATGTGTTTTCATCGTGTACGCAACTTAGGGGACCGACTTAATACCGCGAACCGCAAAACGATCTATAGACTCGAAGGTGCTCCACCTCGTCTCTTTAAGACAGCCCCTAACGGCGCTGATCCGGACGACTACACCCCCTCCCCTTCAGAAAAGGACCCGACGACAAGTCCGATCCCTGCCGGAACACTCTAGGATGTGTTCCGAGCATATCGCTCCATACCCGACCGACGGGTGACTTGTATGACCCTCCTCCCCCCCACCAAGGGGGATTGGCTGTCTTTGTGCGCACCGTTACTAAGTGCAACCTCTATCAGCGATCGATCGGCTGGTAGCGACTGCATGCCCCTCACTTGGCCAGGCTGCTACCAGTCCGTCATTGCTGCCTATGCTCGCTCTTATGTACGGCAGCCGCGCCGACCGTGTCCTATTTAGCTACACACTAGTACACCTAGCGAGGTCGTTCCATTGTACTCTGACACTCTGCAACGATGGTTTTTTAACCCTGTATCTCCATTCGCTCGCCGATACTCTCCTCATCCCCATTGGCTCCGCACCCTAACTCTAACCAAGGGGACTGACTATTGCCTGCAAACTATAGTCAGGGGTTTAAAACCCTCTTAGGAGACTATCTAGCTACTTTATTTTCTCTTGTAGATAGCTGCTGCCTTATAGGGACCCCCTTCAGAGGGCTCCCACCCTCTAAGCCCTCTTTTTTGGAGGCTTAGGCCCTGTACACCTCAATGTCACACAAAAAAAACATAAACACCCTTCCCATGTTACATGTTCTGTGATAGGAAACCTGTGATAGGCCCCATCTGTGTACCTACACATGTCACTCCTGGTGACAGCTCTCCCAGCTACTATAAGACACTGAATCCTTGTGTCTGATGATTTTTTTGAAATGGGCTTGCAACCATAACACAAGACTCACCGAGAAAAACTCATCTCACTTAGTTTTATTGACCCTTTACACTCCTCATAACCCTAACCCTAACCCTAACCCTAACCCTAACCCTAACCCTAACCCTAACCCTAACCCTAACCCTAACCCTAACCCTAACCCTAACCCTAACCCTAACCCTAACCCTAACCCTAACCCTAACCCTAACCCTAACCCTAACCCTAACCCTAACCTTAACCCTAACCCTAACCCTAACCCTATTATCATGGTCAGTGACTGGATGTAGACCCTCATTTGGCTGATGAACCAACCTGGTGCCCAGTGTTTATTCACAAAATGCTTGCCCATGGTCTCCCTTTTAACACATGCATAAGAACATGTCTTGCACACCAGACCCAGGTAGATACGGATCCCTTGGAAGGGTGATATTGGATGTCCAAGTTGGTAGATGTTGTTTGGTTGTGACCCCAATGGATCCAAAAAGCTGTTGACCATGGATGAGGAAAGATTGATTTGGTGTTGATTCTTCAAATGGGCAAGCAGCTCATGGGGGAGGAGGCCAACATGACCATTTTCATTGGTACAGATGAGAACATTGGCCCATTTTTGGACCAAGATGCCCCAAGTCTTGAGGGCAGGATTCTCTGCAAGCAGAAATCAAAGGATTGGTGAGTAAGTATGAAACATCCCATAGTTGATAATGACTCACCCTCAATTTCATCACCTGCAGGGGGAACTCGATTAGGAATAAAGACATTATTGGGATTGTGAGGAACTTGGGGAATGGATTTTCGGATCCGGAACCGGCACCTCGAGTAGTGTGATTGCATCAAAGCAGCATTATCAGTGGAGTATTGGCAAGTTGAAGCTGGGCAAGAGAAAACATTGTTGATTTTTTCTATCTGGATGATGTTGCCATGTGAATCAGTGAGTTTCACTATAATTTGATGGTAGTTGCGCACATGACTCTTTTGTGCAGACTTGGAAATAAAGACTTCAGAGCATTGAGTACATTTAAAGGTGTCTTGCATGGTTGGGATTTTATTTTTACTTTGGATAGTAGAGTGGCGAGTTATGTCAAACAGAAATGCTCCTGAATAGAGGTGTTTGTCAGACAAATGTAGGGTCCTTTTATAGACAACATGGACCCTGACAAGGATTTTTTTTCTCACAAAAAACACTCAGATTTCAAGAATCAAGTATGGCTCAACAGACATTATTTTATTCAGTGGTGAAGAAATCCTGATACACAGTTTATGATAGATAATAAGAAACAAGGAAACAACTGGGATAACCCTTGAATCATCACTTTCTTCAGCCTCATCATCAATAAAAGCTTCAACGGCAGCTGTGTCTGCCATGTGGTTGATGAGGGCAATGCTGACTTCCTCCATGCTTACATCTTCAGAATCATCTTCATCACCAGGAGGAGCAGGAGGGACTTCATCCATAGGAGGG